CTATTAAAAATACTGAAATCCACAGGGACTGGGGACAGTACAGAGCACTGGGTGCTCAACCAAAGGACAGGGTTCAATTCCCAGCATCTACATGAGTCATAACCATTTCTAACTCCAACCCCAAGATGTCTTCTACTCTCTTGTGGCCTCTGTTGGCACAGCATATACAAGGTACACAGACAACACAGGCAGGTAAAATACCCACACACCTAAAACTAAGCCATAAAATTTTTATGAAGGACTACAAATCTTAAGAGCGTGTGGTAATACAGATGGGTGCAGAAAGACAAACGCTCTGTGACCTCACTCATCCACAGATGCTCAGTCAGCTGATCTGAGAGTGAAGGACTAAGGTTATCAGGGACAAGAGAGGGCAGAAAGGGGTTGAGGAACAGCCCTGGTGTGCTTCTCAGTACAGTGGGTCCACAGTTAGTAATAATCCATTATAGGCTTCAAAATAGGATTTTGGTTGGTCAAAGAAATGACAAATTCTTGGGAGGATGGCTATGCTGAATATGTATCTCCTAATTATTATGGCCCTATTAAGGATAATTTAAAAACTCTTAAATATCTGCTTCAACATAATTGCCCCGGACCATCTTGGAGCCTACACGCTGGATGTGATGATGTCCTGAACAGCAGTTAAGTTTCAGAATCCAAATGCCAGCTGTCAGTCTCTGTTCTCTGGTCACTCCTCCTCCCCCGCTGCCTGCTAGGTCCCCCAGACCTCTCTGCCTGTTTCACTAGGACTGTTCACTCTGACCGGGGAGAGCCTCATCCCCATGTCAGTATGGGGTTCACCGGGCTCACCATCACATGACTGCTTTGGCTCCCTCCATTCTGGCAGTTACCAACAGAGCCTGGCACAGGAGACTGCCCGTTGTTGGGGTGGCAGTCTGTGACTTGGGGTAACAATGAGCCTTATCTTCGTTTGACACAGGGTCCGGAATGACCAGCAAATGGAGTGCGCTGAAGCTGTAATACTCACCTGGCTCAAAATACATCTTAGAAAAAAAAAAAAATCACAGATAGCAGTGGTTTGGGAAAGAACTGTACCACTTACCCGATTCGCATTTTTTTAAAAATTTTCCATTTTGGATGTTCAGTTTGGGGAGCTTAAAATATAAGCAGGTTGACTTTAATTTAGGCTGGTTTAGAATACTCTTTTGAAGAAATATGTCCAAGAGGTCGTTTAGGGCAGTCGGCTTCTCCAGGCTTACTTTTTTCTTGTTATCACCCTTGTGTAGAGAAAGCCTGCAATACTTTTCAGGACTAGAGCATGCTAGAAATCAGGCATGGTAAAAAGAAAGAAAAACAAACAGGGTCTAACATATCCTAAAATGACCTCAAACTCACATAGCCAAGGATGACCTTGTACTTTGGATCTTCCTGCTTCTGCCTTCCTTGTAACGCAGACTGTTGGCATGTGTCCCTGGGTTACCAGCATGTACCACCAGGCTTGGTCTACGTAACATTAGGGCTTAAATCCAGGGTCTCATCAGTGCAAGGCACGCACTCTGTGCCCCTAGCTGATTAACAGCTTTAGGAAGCCAAAAAAAATAGACAATCTTGTGCTTTCCTATTAAAATCTAGGATTAAAATTAGCTAAAGAAATAGGAAGACTACAGAAAAAAAGAGCGGGCAGTACAGTGTTTAATTCTTTCCAAACACAAAGGTAAAACAAATAATACAGTAATTTAAGAATGCTAGGATTATGTAAAATAGAAATGCATTCGTTTTTTGACATGCAAAAAACAAAACAAAACAAAAAAACCCTTCACAAAGCATTACTTGCATTATTTTTTTAAGTGTTTTGGGTTTGACCGTGAGAAAATTAATAGTATTGAGACCACAAGTTAATCAGACTTAATGAGAAGCTATTCCAGTAAAAACAACCCAACTTAACCCTCACCACCTAGCCTTTGAAGCACAAACTCAAAGCAGTTTATGGGCTGGGGTTCCTCTCTAGTTAGCCATTCAGAGCTACACAGACCCACACAACTCTTTTCCCTTCCTTTGTGGTTGTTAGGGACTTGATTGAATTAAAAACAAAAAACAAAAGACAAAAGACAAAACACCGCCAGGGTCCATGTTTGCCGCCTTGGCTGGCCTGAAACTCCCAGTGTTGACCAGGCTGGCTCAGAGGGTCATTTAGTGTGTGCCACCGTGCCAGCTGGACCTTACTGATTTCAATAGTGAAAGGAAGGTGGAATCTGTCTCTTAACCATAAGAGTTTAGACATTCCACCAGTATTAACTAGAAGTCATGCTGGTTAAATCAGTCCCCTTACTACCATTATTTGTACTAGGGAAAGTTACTCAAGATTTATTTTTATCTACAGCTCTTCAAAACTATACATCAGTCCTCCATCCATGCAGTCAGTGTCAATCGCTTGCCAGTGTAAAAATGAAACTCTAGGGTAACTCAAACCACACAAACTCTGCCATCGCGTCTCCCGTTAGACTACGCTCCTACAGAGACAGTTAAGAGAGTGCAGGACATCTGGCTGCAGTTGAAGTTTCACTTGTTTGTTTGGGCATTTCCTTGGGTGGGAAATACCCATGTGCAGTGCACACATGGAGATCCAAAGACAACACGCAGGGGTAGATGGTTCTCTCCTCCCACCATGTGTTGAGGGAAAGCTCTAACCCTGACCCAGGCTTGGTGGCCACTGCCTTACCCTGCTGAGCCCATGTGCTGGCAACTAGTTACAATTTTTGAATGTTTAAAGATCTTGATAGTGACAGAGTCCACTGTTTAAAAGACGCAAGCATATTCCTAAAATTCCCTAAGTGACTCAAACTTATTCTAAAAAGAGTTGATCCACGTTTTCAGTTTATTGTCACCAAGAAAACATCTCAGACTGCAGCAGAATTCAGCTTCAGCATCTTCATGTAGAAAGGGCAGTAAAGGCATTGAACCCGGCTAGCATTTTAAACCTCAGTGTGGAATATCCTCACAATCCCTTTCCTATAACAGACTGGCACACTCATTAACTGCCCAGGTTATAAAAGTCGTATTTGCTGTCCACTCCCCAACTCTCAATCTATTTTCATACCTATACCACATAAATTTAATGCTGGCAGACAAAAATAGCTCACCTTAAGAATCTAAAAACCTTTTAGGTATCTTTAAAAGCAACTCTGAAAAGGCCTTCCCAGAACATTTTCACACACAATTTTCTATGAAAACCAAGCAAAAAGGTGCTACACCTTAAAGAGAGACTAAAGTAAAATAATTTTACTTCTTGTCTGAAAACATTTCTTAGCTCTTGATTAGGAGGGAAAACTTTTTAATTCCTTGGAGAGGACAAAGTAGTTCACAAGTAAAAATAGTACATTTATTGACAGTTGTACAAAAGGTTCCAAAATATTTCATCATTTCGAGAAAACGTAATTTAAAGCTAACAAGTGTAATACACTGAATAAATGTCACTCATGAACACAGTCTATTACTTCTCACAAAGCCCTCAACCCTCAATTAGGAACAGCGGGCATATGTATGCCTTTTCCAACATTTGGTAGTATTAGCTAAAAGCCCTAGGCCCCTAGGACCAGAGTCTCAGGCTCCTCGACCTCACAAGGGGGTCTTGGACTGATCACCCAGGAGCAGCCTCAATTCTATTTTGTGCTATATTGTATGGTTTGGCTTTTGTATTAATGTACATATTTATTCGACAGGGATAATTTGAGAAATCCTGTCAAGAGATATTTTAACTCAGAGAAGTTTCCAAACCAAACCCGCAAATCCCTCCAGTTAAACGGCAAAGCATGTCTTCATAGTATTTCTCTGTCACTTAACAGACAAGGCAAGATCATTCCAGACAGTGGACGGGGATCAGCAGGGATGGCTCAGGCTGTGGCTCCAATTTTATGTGACTTTGGGTCACTTTAAGTGAGAACTAAGATATCACTGCTTCATATACAAATAACTGACACTCCAGAGTATCTGGAAGCTTTAAATTACCACACAGGAACAATGGATTTTTGTAATCAATCTAAGCTGACTTTTCTCTGCTTTAAAAAAAAAAAAAAAAAAAATCTGGTGGTTTTTTGTTTTGTTGAAAAATATATGTCCTTGTCTCCACTTAACCAAGGTGACGTGGCCTCTGGTCACCTGACTTCCTGCAGTCACCCTCATCTCTCGGGCCTGAGAGGCAGAGTATGTCCCTAAAGCGTGGCAACCTGACCTGGAGACGGGGAACCAAGGCCTACCGATCCAACCTGTCATTTTGGCAACAGTAGTTATGTCACTGTTCACTCTCAAGTGTGGTTTCAGCCAGGCCATCCTTGAGCCCCAGCAGCAAGTACTTGAGAAACTTATCCCTGGCCTCCAGCCTCCAGGTGCCTGGAGTTTGGCCCGGAGAAATGCATTCTTTCCAAAAGCTCCAGCAGATAATCACAGCAGTCAATCAGTTCAGTCTGGAACTCTTGGTGCTTCGCCCTCAGTGTATTCTCTGCCCGTACTTTGCTTGTCTGGGGAATAAACATTTCTCTTCTAAGCCAGATGTGGCACACCCTTCTCATCACAGCACTGATGTTAAGGAAGGGCATCATAAATTCAAGGCCAGCCAGGACTACACAGTAATGAAAATCCCTTGCGCCGTTCCTAAGCACACTACTCACGACCTGGACTTAGCTCTGTGGGGAACCAGTCATTACATTCCACTGCAATAAATCCGCCATGATCAGTTAATTTCAGCACTCTCACGACGCATGTACATTCTACTGGCACCACCGTGCTCTGCTTGCGTGGGAGATGAGGAGATCATCGGAGTAGGTGGTACCCCTAGGAGATGACAGAACCCCAAAAGCAGAGAGGCCGCTAACCAGCTCCTCCACATTCTTTAGACAATGTTTCTGGCAGACCTAAATGAAAACTTGAAAGAAATATTCATCTTCCTACAGAAACCCAGAGACTTCACACTCCGTAATTCTACCACACCAAGGGAAGTCGACCCAAATTATCAGTGTTCAAAAATACACCCAGTTAACCGAACATCAGAGTGAAGCTGGTATAATTGATCCTTTAGGAGCTTTAGCAAACACGAATTGTGAAAATCACACATGACATATTGGTGCAAAGTGGTTCCAAACACATCTCTTCCCAATTTAGCATCAACAACATTTGGGTTTTCCAGGCGTCCACGTGCACTTAAGAGCTTCGGAATGTGGTCATGTCTTTCGGCTCTCTGCTGGGGACACACCAGTCATCGGCCTCGTGGTTGGTTCTGTAATGTTTCCAGGCAGCTTTATTATACACAGGGAGTCTTTCGATGGATTCTGTCGACAGAGCCTGGGGTGGAAAACAAGTCCTGAGTCGGGCGTTTTTAAGAATTGGTTATCTGAGATAACGTGCGATGGCAAACGGTGACTACAGAGAAACAACACGTACTGGCACCTTATCAAGTGGCTCCCAATCACAGGGCTGCGGGTGGGCGTGCCTGGAACTTATTGTTCACTACATCTGTGGCACTGACAGCACAGTGACTGGGTTTGCTACTTCCGCTGTCCGCCAGCCAGCCTGGAACGTCTACCCAGGCAGAACAGGCACTGCTTGCCAAGTGCAAGCCCAGCCAGGAGTCAGCTACTTTAAAAAGCTGGCTAAGTGTAAGAGCATAAAAACCGTATATCTACCTTAATATATATATGCTGATTTATGACGAGAAACCCAATTTCCTTCACTAGATAGTAATATGCCATAGAAACACTGATGTACAGGAATGGAGACGGCCCAGGGGTTAAGGACCCGGATTCAGTTCCTAGCACCCACTCATCACAACCTGTTAACTCCAGTCCAAAGACCAGATACCCCCTTCTGACTTACACACACACCAGGCAGACATGTACTACAGAGAGATCTATGTAGGCAAAACACCCACACACATAGAATAATCTTTTACAACATTTAAAAACTAAACATGCTAATATTATCATCAATCACTATCAAGCTGAATCTAAGCCATCTTGGCTGTTACATGAACAATGCTTTGTCCTTTTTTTTTGGATCTGATGTTTTTCATTCCCCAGCACCCAGTATGGAGACTGAACAAAGGGTCTTTCTTGTACGCGAGCAAGCGCTCTATCGCAGAGCAATACCATGTCTTCGTCTCCTGCCATCCCGGTCAGTTTTAGTCCCTGGGCATGTATTTCTACTTCCCATACATGGCCTTTCACTGCTCTACAGCTGCCTGTAAACACTGGGAGCCAGCGAGAAGCTATATTTTCTGTTACTGTCTGTAGAGTAGGAATTTTTCGAAATTTTGACAACAGGTCCCTGATACTTCCCAAGATGTTGACAATTCAGAACCAGAATTCCCTCCCGGTCGTGCTGAAGAAGGGCTTTAATGCGACTGACTGGGCGTGACAACTCCATTAAAGTGCTTATGTTCTAGTTTTTCTCAAATAGAAAAACTTTCTACCTCGATGCTCTGGACAGCCTAAACACAGATCAAAATGATACCTCTAGTGTTAAAAATATTGCTGATACTATGTCATATGTCATATCTAATTTCCTCAAATGACATTAAATCATAAAGAAGTTAATCTTTTCAGGCCAACTTTTTCAAAAATTCTTAAGTATAGCCTATAAAATAGGCGCCATCTAGTGGCCAGAACAAGAAACCAGACGCACCAAATGCTTAATCAGCACTTTAAAAAATATTGTTATTATTAATTTATTTGCATATGTGTGGTTCAGCAGGCAGAGGCGTTTGCCATCAAGCCTAATGACCTAAATTTAATCTCTGAGACAAGAACTCCAGAGAGTTGCCCCCTGACCTCCACACCTGTGCCCACACACAAATAAGATAGTACATAGTTTTAACAGAGTTACTTTAGGTGTCTGGGGAGATGGCTCAGCAGTTAAGAGCACTTTGTGCTCTTGCAGAGGACCTGGGTTTTATTCCCACTGCCCGCACAGTGTTCCATAATCACCTGGAACTCCAGTTCCAGGGGCTCTGATTCCCTCTTCTCCACAGGCACTAGGCACATACAGGTACACAGACATGCAGGCAAAACACCCAGGCACACAAAATAATTTTTTTTTCTGAAGGGAATGATTATCTCCTGGCGGTTGGGGAATACTAGCCTAACTTGTGAAAGGCCATACATTCACACATGCAAAGGCTGGGTGTTGTCACTGCCTGGCAAAATGGCTCCGTAATTAGAGGCAGCTGTCACCAAGCCTGAAGACCCATGTTCAATCCCCAGAGCACACGTGGTGAAAGGGGAGAACTAATTATGGAAAGTTGTCCTCTGAGCCCATTCACACCACGAACACGTACAATGCAAACAAGCAAACCTATTCTTTTAAAAAAGAGCAGCTCAAGCCAGGTATGGTGGCACACGTCTGTGATCCCAGCACTAGGGGAGGCAGAGGCAGGCCTGGTCTACAGAGTGAGGTACAGGGGGACAGCCAAGGCTACACCAAAAAATTCTTTCCTGAAAAAGCAAAAAGCAAAACAAAACAAAACACCCAAAAGAGTAGCTCAATGATCAGTCATATGTTTTACATAAGACATAAATTCACACCGGGCATGGTGGTGCACACCTTTAATCCCAACACTCAGAGAGGCAGGCAGATTGTTGTGAGTTCGAGGCCAGCCTGGTCTACAAAGTGAGTCCAGGAACCAGGGTCTTTCTTATACACTTAGGATTTTCTACTTTAATCTAATTTTCTATTTCTTTCCCCACTATTCTCAACTATCAAAATGGATGCATTCCCATATAAATATCTCTACATTTATTAAATGGTATGAGGTTTAGTAAAATCCCTTTTTTATACACTTTTTCCCCCCTTAGTTTTTCGAGACGGGGTTTCTCTATGTAATAAAGCCCTGGCTGTCCTGGACTCACTTTGTAGACCAGGCCGGACTCGAACTCACAGAGATCCACCAACCTCTCTGCCTCCTGAGCGCTGGGATTAAAGGTGTGTATCACCATGCCAGTGCCCCTATTATACTTTTATTGGTGCCTTTTCTTATCATGAAAAGAAATCGGGTGAAGGGGCTGAAGAGGTGGCTCAGTAGTTCAGAGCACTGGCTGCTCTTCCATAAGACCCAGGTTCAGTTCCCAGCACCTACATGGTGGCTCACAACTCGAGTTCCAGGGGATCCAATGTGCACTCTGGCCTCTGAGAGCTCTTGCATACATGTGGTACACATAAACTGACACACATACATGTACAAATAAAAAATAAAATACAGCTAAGAAGCTTTGCTTATTACCTTAATATAGATAACGGCATCAGTCCCGTAGCCCTCTAAGGAATACAGCTTAAGGTCTCCTTGGAAGTACTGTGCGTAGAGGCGTGATATGGGCAACCCATAACCAAAACCAGCCTGTTCGATGAGAAAGCAAAGTTCTGTTCAGAGACCCCCACACCGAAACACTTTTCCACGGAGTGTGGCAGCGCCACCAGCCTCGCATCTGAGAGCGCTTGTAAAGTACAACCATGTGGAAGGATTAGGCTGGAGTTTAGCTGAGCCCATTAGCGCATCAATTCTGGACCTAAAGCCCTTTCTTCCGTCTATAAAATGCCTTTGTGGTAGTCTGGAGAAGGTTCCCCCGGACCACTCTCAGCAATCTCATGCAAAGCACACTGTTTCCGTTTGGAGCGAGACGAGAAAAGGCCTTGTTGCCTATTTACTAACAAGAGGGATCCCGGGATGGCACAGCATGGGCCTCCAGCCTCTGCTCTGAACCTGGAGCTGATCCCTAATAGTGGAGCTCAACTCTCTCAGACACATCACTTCCCTGCTCCAGATCTTCAAAGTTGACCAGTGTTCCACCACCCCAACTCCTGCCCTAGAGATTAAAAAGTTAAGCTTCTAGAATGAGTTTCTAAGATACAATCAGGCCTCTGCCTCCCGCTTTCCTGTCTAGCAGAACCAATTTCTTTCCCTGACTTCCTGAAACACAGGACTTCTTGGTCTCTGTTCAACCTGTTTCCAGCATCTGGCCCTTCTTTACCTAGGTAAATAGTACAATTGCTTGGTAAAGATAAAAATGGCTCCATCACCAAATCAAGCCTCAGGTGGCAATCCTCAGCGTGTTATTAAGTGTATGTCACTGCTCTAACTAATAACGTGCATGGGCTCCGGCTTTTGCTCCCACTGACTTTTTATACTATTATGTTTGCATGTTTATGACTGCAGGTACGTGCATATTATGTGTGGACGTGAGGACAGCGTCCAGGAGCGTTTCTCTCCTGCGTGGGTGAGATCCGGGGATCAAACAATGTAGTCAGAGTTGTAAGGCGAACACTTGTTCCCACTGAGCACCCACGAGTACCAACTACGTGACATTCTGAACAGCGCTTCTCTGGGTCCCTCCAACCCCTCCAATCAACTACTCAATTTCCAACTTCCTCCCTGCCCTGGAGCTGAGGAGCTGCAGCCAAAGGTCAGACACACAGAAAGAAAACTAAGAAACTGGGCATGATGGCATATGCCTTTAATCCCACTGGGGCAATGGCAGGGCACTCGGTGAAATAAAGGCCAGTGTGAGCTTCACAGCAAGACCGTGCCTCAAACAAACAAACGCAGATCATTTCAGTCTACACAATGAGTTCTTTCTAAAAACAATAAATACTTGAAAGAAAACATTAATAGGAAAGAGTATGTCAATGACAACCAATTACTAGTACAATCTATAGTTTACTCTTCATATTGCAACAGACGGTTTACCACAGGAAAACTGCTGTGACGTTACTACCAAGAGAAGCAGAAAAAAATTCTTAAACTAGAATCTGCCTTGTACCTACTTCAATTAAAAATTAACCCCAGGGCTGTTCAAAGTCAGACAGAGGCATTTGTCTCCAAAGGCTCGAATCATTCTCCCTCCCTGTGAGCGCTGTGAAATTGGCTTAACTGGTTTTGGGGAGACCAGATTCTGATGATGGCGGAGGGACACCACAGCCCTTCCATAGCACGTACCAGGGGCACTGCACGGGACGTCTCCATACGAGGCCGGGGTGCCGTTGAGTACATGTAGTTGAAAAGTCTGTCAATCTTCCTGAGTGGAACACCTCCTCCCCGGTCACTCATCTGCGAGGAAAGAGGATCAAACTGCGACCACATCCCACGCATTATAGTGTCACGATTTAACTACCTCGGGGAGAACGTGAACACTGCCCTCGTGGTGTCACAAGCGCAAAGTTAATCCTTCCTGGTGGGCAGTATGATAACCAGGATAAAATAAATTTAAAAAAAAACAAGGACACTCTGCACAGAAATGCCACCTCGTAGGTTTATCCTAAAAACTAAAGTAGGCGCAACAAATACGAGAATATCCATCATGGTTTTTTTGTTGTTTCTTTTTGTTTTTAAGATTTATTTAGTATATATACAACATTCTGTCTGCACGTACACCTATATGCCAGAAGAGGGCATCAGATCTCATTATAGATGGTTGTGCGCCACCATGGAGTTGCTGGGAATTGAACTCACAACCTCTGGAAGCAAAGCCAGAGCTCTTTACCTCTGAGCCATCTCCCCAGCCCCCATCATGGTTTTAAGACAAATCAGAGAGTAACTCACACAGAGGACAAATAAAGTACATTCTAAAACAAAATACATTATGTCGGACTCTATGTGTTAGCAACAACAAACAGACAATGAGCAAGTTAGGAACATTTATAATTCTAACTTTCTAGATATATTGACGACAAGAGTTTGAAATTGCAGTAAGATGGCTTTGCAGCTCAGAGCACTGACTGGTCTTCCAAAGGACCTAGGTTTGTTTCCCAACTCATCCATGGTGGCTCAAAACCATCAGTAACTCCAGATCCAGGGGACCTGACTACTTCTGGCCTCCACCGGGCACTACACTCATGTAACCCAGACACAAACATACAAAAACAAACCTATCTGTCTCTCTCTTAAGAAATTCAGTGTGGTGCTACACACCTGCAACCTGACAAGCAGGAGGCTAAGGCAGGAGGCTGGCCGAAATCAGGGCAGCAGCGTGTGCTGTAATGTATTATCCTAGCTCAAACAAAAGGAAGGGCCAGCAGGCAAGGGCGCTAAAACACGCCCAGCAGGAGAACCGATTCCCAAAGAACCCGGGATGATGGTTACTACTGCCAACCCAGGCTCGGCCACCCTGGCACTGCCTATGAGGAATTATCCTACCCCACCAGAGACGGAAAGACCCATCCCACAACTGGCTAGCACCACCCCTGATGCTGGGCTGCCCACAGAGGAAAAGGCTACCTGAACGCCAGCATCCTGGCTATTTCCTGCCTATGGGCACAGTGCAGCCGACCTGGGGCTCCTCCTGCCATGCCTTCCCCAACAGGGTGGACTGTACCCTTTAACTATGAAGCGAGACAAACCTTTTCTCTTTCAAGTTGCTTTTCTGGGGGGGGATGTTATCACAGCAACAGAAGAAAATAAGACAAATGAGTCCAGAGGTCACAGAGAAAAGAAAGGTCTCCACTAACTAGTATCACAGGAAATTCGAGAACACAATCCAGAAAAAGATCTAACAACTTCAGTCACTACAAAACCTAAGACCAATTACCACAAAGGAAGAGGAACTGCGGGAAACCATCTGAACCTCAGGCTGTTCTCCGAAGGAACAACCTCAATGTCACCTGTAAAAACAGCAAAGACCACTCTTCCAACATAGCACCAAGAAAATTGCAAAAATCACAATTTTGTCAGAACCCCTGAAAACAAACCAACGGAGAGGCAGCTCGGTGGAACAGGGAGCTCTGTGGTTTTGGGTCATTTGCTCTCAGCACATCCCCTCGACAACCTCACACACACACAGGCAGTAATATGAAACCAGCCGCTGACAGCCACTCGGAAGGCTTGCTTTGCTCTGACTGTGAGTTCCCCAGCATCCTACCACTATGAAGTCTTAGGTCCCATTTGGAAACAGTTGTCAGAAACAATTAGAAGTAATGGAATATTGTTTTAAAATAAGATGGACATGCGGCTCGGAGAAGCTCACCCCTGGGAATCTAGACTGCTGTACTCTGAGGGCTAAACCCCCACCCAGGAAAGCCTCCAGAAGGTCCTCAGCTCTCAACCCTACCTAAGATCAGGTTATACCCTGCCCTAAGTTACTCCATGTTGTGTAAAACAGTGGTTCTTCAGACTGTGCTGTGCCCTGAGTGACTGCATTTTAAGGATGGGGCGAATAGCACCTGGGTGGACATACAAATGAGACTTTCTGACTGGCACCAGCCAGGTAGCACACTGGTAAGTGACTTATTCTTGAGAACAGAAAGAAAGAGTGCCACCCTATAAATTTATCAGGCTGAATCAGACTATGAAGGCACACGTAGTAAAACCCTTATAAGGGAAACCAAGAACTTATCAAACGTTAAAACCCACTGAAATTGACCTCAGAGACAGGAGCAAAAGGTGCCCACAGAACTCTGAATTATTTGCAACCTACAATTCCATGTATGAAATCAACACTGGAAAAACAATAGAAGGGAAATGGCACTCAGGGCAAGGGGGACTTGGAGCTTGGTAGGGAAGGGATAAGCATTCGACTGCTTTATTCAAAAGAGCTAAAGTCTGTCTCCCAACCATTACAGAAAGCCAGTACCTGCTACTTACAGTGTGAGCTCTTCAGAACCAGCAATGACAGAACACTCCCCGGAAGTACAGTGAGTGCTGAACAGCTAAGGCAAGCTGTAAGCAGCGTGCAGAAACGGCCAAAAAGGACAGCTGACTTTTACACTCTGTATGTTAAATAACATGCTCTGTATATTACTTAAAAAGACATGCAATTACTCCAAGCAAACTGCACTATCTGAGCAGGTAAGGGGGGAGGTCAAGCAGTGGGTCAGACAGTGGACCTTGAGGGCTGCAGCTTTTATCCCCATTGTGACCCTAAGCTCCTCCCCGGCCCTCAGTCCCCACAACTATAACATAAAGCGAACACCACCTGTGCTCCTGAAAGGCTCTGATGAGAATGAAATGAAACTAAGCAAACAAAAAGTATTGCTTAAAACTGAACGTGCCCAAATAGTTACGATTTTTCACTGATCAAAGTCTGTTTCCAGGCATTCCTTCAACCTGAATATGGATTAAGGACCAGAACAGAAACAGACTCACAAGATAATTCTCTAATTTACAAAGATAAACAAAGCGCTTATCATCTACTTGACTGAAATTCTTTCCCTTGAGAGTAAATTATGTATAGAAACTAGACATAAATTATTTTTGCATGCCTACACATCCATTTTTTTAAATTACCTTCACAGTCAAATCCTCCTCGCCCAGTGTGACATGAACGTGAATGGGTGGATAGAAGCCTTTGTCAGCATGATGCTCCATAGTTGCCCTCATTGCGTTCTGAAACACATCAGGATTACACTAAAGCACAACTTTAAAAAAGCAACTACTAATAATTTTAAGATACATATGTATCATCTGAATTCCAAGTTTCCTTTGTCACTGGCTTAAAACTTACGAGTATTTACACCATAAAATGTTTTGCCTAGTTTCTAGAGTGTGAGGCACAGCACTGCCTACGCACGGGCTAGTAAGGGGACTCGTGGCCCTGGAGCAGAAGCCAGTAAGGCCAGGAAGCTGGGGCTGAATGTGGAATTGAGAGTGAGGGCACTGGACGCCAAGGACTAAGCAGACTGAGGAGAAGAGGCTGCGCCATTCCCGACAAGCAGTTCCAGACAAAGTCACTGTCCTGTACATCATATAAATGTTGCAGCTTATATAAGTTTTATTAAGTATCATAGGGTAGAATGTTCACATGACTAAAATTTCAATGGGGGGGACAGTTCTAACACGTTAAGGGCCAACTACTTTAGCTACTTTGACAGATTTATGTAGGTGTTAGGGTAGTTCTTAATTGATCAAAACAAAGCAGGTACTTTGGTTCTGTATTTCAGCATATTGTTCTTTATTTTCTTTTGCTTTTGGATTTTGATCCAGGGTCTTGCTATACAGCTCAGGATGGCCCACACGGCCTGCACCTTCCCTGCCTCCTTCAGACGTGCTGGAGTCACAGGTACAGGTGTGTGAGCTAACCCTGGTCAGTGTTGCTGGGCATTACTCTATAGGAAGCCATCTCTCTGCTCCTCTGCTCTGCTGCTGGCTAGAGACGGGGCAGCTAAAGTAGGAGGTGGTACAGGCTTCTGAGCTAGGACGGTCATGTACAGCTGCAGGAAGCAACCACACACATCAACCTATCAACTCTTTTGCCTATCAAGAATCTGCGGGGGCGGGGGGCAACCCAACCCAACCAACATGCTTTTACTGAGTTTTCCAAATCTGTTATAAACAGCAAACAGTTCTCTAAGTCCAATATAAACAACTTCCTAAGAGAAAGAAAAAACAAACAAACAAAGGCATGTAAGTGTGGCTGGCTCAAGAGTGAAGGTTGGGAATTACAATTCTAAGTATTTTGGTTCATGAAAACATGAATACAAATGTACTAAGCACCTACAGGCATGCTCTGCTATAATGGCCACTCAGCACAAATTTCCCCAATCTTCACCAAGTTTCCGGGAGAATACTCTCCTTGAAGCTACAAGGAGGAAACTGAGTCATTTGCCCAAGGTCACATACTAAGCAAGAGAATCTTTAGTCAACTCCAGGTCGTTCTGGCTCCCAGGTCTGTGTGCTCTACTGCATGGAGGCAGCCATCTGTATAGACAAAAGGCTCACTTCCAGCAAAGTGGCATAACACTGACATGGAATGGCGTATCTTAATGAAACAGGAAGTCCAAAGGAACATGGTTTTCAGAGCAGATCCCTAAGCTCAAGAAAGGACTGGTAAAGGTTATGCAATACTAGTTTACAAACCTTGAACAGCTCAAACACCATGTGATAGAGATGGGATGGTACATAAACCACTTGTATTGTCTGTCCTGGTGATTTCGCTACAGAGCAGAAGAGAAAAATATGAAAGTACAGAGAGATGTGCTCAAAGCATTCTTAAGAATAAACTGTGGAGTGATGTGGAGAGAACATTCGCTATGGAGGGTGGCATTATGGGGGAGGCATACTGTCACACCATTTCTTTCCTGCCTTCGAGTTTGAACCCTCAGCTCACACACATGGCTACCCAATCTGTAAATCTTCAGGTAGGACTGTACTTCCTAAGACAGACATCTTAGAAAAAAAGGTTTCACCTGGGTAGAACGCTATCTATTTTATTTTAGACATTGCTATGGATACAATATTGGATCAAAAAAAAAGGAAAAAGAAAGCTGGCATCATTTTCCAAGAGGTGTGTGTAACCCTTTGTTCTCCCAGAGACGCCAAGTTTCTGAGTGCTTTGACCACTAAATGACTAGACTGTAAACTACACAGTAAATCAAAGTGTCCTCTGCAAACCTCTCGCTTAGAATGGGGTACCTGGCACTGCACACACAGTTCGAGCTCCTAAACTCTGTCTGTGGCAGTGACCTAGCAGAGTCATCAGTGTGGCAGGAAACCACAAGCAGTCCTATTTCTACGAGTGAGCACGCCACTGCTCCCCACTCAGACATCCAGGATCAGCTTAGGTCAAGCCCATTAAATCGCACTTCCTCCCACCACCTTCTCAAAGGATTATCTAAACCTGGGAGAGGTTTTCCTTGATAAATAACCAATCACCAGTCTCTGTCCAAAACTCTGAACCCTTTTCCCAAGAGGCAGGGTGGAGAGACCATCAGAGCCTCTCACACAGACGAGGGGCTGCCTGTCTTTTACATGACCAGTCTTCCTACTTCAGCAATAAAAACTGACCTACAATTCAGGAAGTAGAAAAAAAAGGATAAACTTTGCTATGAGGTGCACACAAAAATTAAATATAATACTCTTGGTATTATTTTTTCTCACTGTCTCTGAAGAAAATAGCAAAGAATCCAAATGATCAGGTAAAAATAAAGAGAGCAAAAACAAAACACCAAAATATTCTTCCCAAGAATCAAGTTAGATTACGTAAGTGTAGATGTATGTGGCACACATGAATCTCTTGCCTTCACACTCGGTGAAGAGGTTATGGAGGAGTCCTTTACTGTCCAAGCAAATCTCAACTTGCTCCTTGGCCGTCAGAACCCATTACTGAGGACAGGCGCCCCAGGCAGGCTTACCATTTAGCTCTTCAAGTTCTAGTTCAGGAGAGTTAACATAATACAAATCACAAAGCCGCCTAGCGTTCTCATAGCCATCTAGTGTGAATCAAACAAAACAAAGAAGCGTTAAATCAATGGACTTCTGTCTTTTGCAATGAGAGGCCAACAGTATTGACAAATGAAAATTTAAAACTGTTTGCAGAAGAAAATATACTTTAAACAATCTTAGTGCAGGAAGGTCTTTTATGTGACAAAGCCTGAGTCATGAGAGAATAAGGACAGAAAGGGCCACAAAAGCTTAACAAGTCAGCATGAAAAATCATACCAAAAACAAAGCGAAAGACACAACAGGGCTAAATAGATTATTATATACATTAAATATATATTTGCATATATATATATATATATATCTGTTTTTGAGACATCTCAAAAACATTGGTCAGGTTTTAGGAAGTCTACTACACATTTATCTATTGGTTTGATATCTCTTGTTTTTTGGGTTTTTTATTTTTTTGGAAGCACTGAATATTTAAATGCCTAAAATGTTTTTAATTCTAGGATTATTGTTGTTGTTGTTGAGGTAACAGTCTTACTATATAACCTCAGCTCGTCTGATGTCCAATTCCCTGGCTGGCCCTGAACTCAAAGATCCACATGCCTCTACCTTCTGAATGCTGGGATCAAGGGTGTGCACAACCATGCCTGGCAATTCTAAGTTTCTTGCCTTATACTAGCAAAAACACCATATATTTAAGGATGTTCACTAAGATGCCGTAACAGCAGGAAAAAAAGCAAACAACCTAAGTGCACATTGCAAGGCCAGGTCAAGACCCTGTTACATTCTAAAGACCTGCTCATAAGTGTGGGTTATGTCCATATGGCTAGGAGTTTGTAGTAAAAGGTATGAGGCGCTCCATGTTCTAAAAATAACAAAATACAGTGGCTGGAAAGATGACTCAACTATTAAGAATACAGGCTGCTAGCTGGACATGGTTTTCATGCCTTTAAAATCAGCAATCAGAAGGCAGAGGAAAGTGAGTATCTGAGTTCGAGGACAGCCTGGTCTACGTAGCATGTTCCTGGACCATCAGGGATACACAGAGAAACACTGACTCAAGGAAAAAAACAACAAAAACCCAGCACAGGCTGCTTTTGCAGAAGACCTGGATTCAATAATTGCTCATCTGTAATTTTAGTTCCAGAAGATCCCACCCCTTCTTCTAGCCTCCAAGGGCACTCCACACGCACGTGACGTACGGACATAAATGCAGGCAAAGTACCCATACACTTAACATTTTTAAAAAATGTAAGAACCACAAAACCCATAAAACAACTCATACACAGACATGTATGTAATGTCAATAAAAAAAAAAAAATTAAAAAAAATGCTTGAAAAGAGCCAGGCAGTAGGTGAACGCCTTTAGTCCCAGCACTCAGGAGGCAAAGGCAGACAGATGGATCTCTATGAGCTGAAGGCTAGCCTGGTCTCCAAAGTGAGTCCACGACAGCCGCTGCTACATAGAGAAACCCTGTCTTGAAAAACCAAACAAACAAAAAATGCTTGAGAAGATGCAAATTAAATTGCTATGAACTCTTAGCATTGGTCACCAGGAAGGACAGACTCGGAACTTGAATTTTACTTACTTACTGTGTATGTGTGTGTACAGTGTGTGGGTGTGTGCATGCTAAGGGATGCATCTATGGAGAGCAGAGGGACAACTTTCTGTAGTTTTCTCTTTACAACCAGACGAGCTCAGGGGATCAAACTCAGGCTTCAAGGCTTAACAGCAGGTATCTTTACACACTGAGCTGTATGAACGGCCCTTCTTTAGGGAGGGTGGGGACAGACTTCAACTTTTTGAAGCAAAACAGAAGAACACACTAACATACCAAACTTTACTAAGAGAAAATTCTATCAGAAGACATCACCTTATATCCTGCATAGTTAGTGTCATGAAGTGACTTCTAACATTTTTTTTTCTCGTGGTACAGGTAGTAGTCAGAAGGGAAGGTACAATTCAGCACTTTCACTTCGCATCCTTCCACAAAGGACAAACGCACTTACCTTTAATAACCTCGACCACATCGCAGTTTGGATTGATGCTTCCAATGTGTTTTCGATGAGATGGGCTTCCTTTTCCACCAAACAATAAAGCTATCACAAGCAAAAAACCAAACAAAGTAAGCGCATTTACCTAACACCCCTTTCCAGACCTAAACGTTCTTTCTCGAAATAGTAGCAAACAGCAGGATGAATATTTTCCGTAAGCATACAGATAGTATTTTAAAGTCACTAAAAATGCCTTCTCTGTATAGCGGGAATGTTCACACTGAAAGGAACATTGTTCCTTTTTTTCCAAAATAAACGTAAGAGCACTATACACACTATTTTCCAAATAAACGTAAGAGCGCTATACATATTAACTAGTCACTTCTTCCAACGTCAGGACACTTACAGTGCTGGTTGAGTAGCATTCTAATTGAAATGCGACTCATGTAGAATCGATCCAGAAAGTACTGGACATTCTGGCTGGTGACAGGATCCACCCCAAAGCTCTCCTTGTACTCGGTCACACCCTGGGCCATGGTGGGAATGACGTCATTGTGCCGGTTTCTGATCCGTATCACTGTGTCTGTGAATCTAAACAAACCTCTCTGTCAAAATACCCACAATATTTTGACAAGTGACTTTAATACTAAGATGCAAGCTGCAGTTACAAAAGGCCTTACTTAAGAGAAAGGGAAGTCAGTGAAGGCTTTCCCACACTTGTTTATATACATTTCAAGTCATAAAATACACAGAACCTACAAGGTGTAAGGATCTCTAAAAATAAAGCTTACATAATTCTTGGATTCCTTTCAAGCTGCCATACTACTTTGGGCAGTGTAAAGGGTCTCCCTTATCCGTTATTATCTAACCATCTGTGGCTCACTAATCTGAGGACAGCATTCCAGAGATAACACTGCCTAAGAAAGTCCCTCGCTGCTACAGAAACGCTCCACACTGAATCAAGATGAGTAAGCAAGAAAGTCGGCTGTGGCTCTCCTCCCTGGAGTTCAAAGAGAAAAGAAGCCACTCATAATGGAAAGATCGAAAGAACAACTCTGATTTCACTCACCCTGAATTTACAAAGCGGGTGAGAAGCCAGGTGGTGGGGAGGCAGAGCTCTGTGAGTTAGAGGCCAGCCTGGCCTACAGTGAGTTCTAGGGCAGCTAGGGCAACAAAGAGAACCCCTGTCTCAGAAAAACAAAAACAAACAAACAAAAAGCCCAAAGTGGATGAAAAAAATAAAATTGTTGGAATGAAAGAGATTTTTTTGAATCATACTGGCTTCTTATTTCTGTCAATTTAAGGAATAAGATTTAAAAAGAAAAAAAGTCTTAACTGCAATGTAACAAGCCACTCTTCTAAGCAGCCATCAGGATTCATGCTTCTGAACAAGTGCTTTCCTAAGGCACCAGCCCGCCTGAGCACTACTTAACTTACTCCAGTGATCCTCTCACTGCCTAAAACACTTTTGAAAACTTTAGTCGTTAATAAATTTCAAAACCAAGCTATTAAGATAAAATACAGGGGGCTGGAGAGATGGCTCAGTGGTTAAGAGCACTGTCTGCTCTTCCAAACGTCATGAGTTCTAATTCCCAGCAACCACATGGTGGCTCATAACCATCTATAATGTGAACTGATTCCCTCTTCTCGCAGGTGTAAATTCAGATAGAACACTCATATACATAAAATAAAAATAAATCTTACAAAAAAAATAAATTGAATATTTAAAAAAAAAAAAGACAAAATACAATTAAAAAATAGTCCTCAAAAACAACAAACAACTGAAAATTTCAATCCCCTCCTTATTTACCTATTTTCTTCCTTTCTTTAGAACAAAAACTGCTGAGCAGGGTACAGTAACTGACCCGTAATCCCAGGCAGAGGCTGAAGCAGGAAAATCACTGTAGACTAGAGGTCAGACTGAACTCCACAGTGAGTTCCAAGAAAGCCTGGGTCACATATAAGACCCTGTCTCAGGAAACAGGGAACCAGTCTGGGAAGACAGCTCAGTTGATAAAGTGCTTGTCACAAAAGACTGAGTTCAGTCTGCAAGAAACTCATGTAAAAACATCAAGTATGGCGGCACACATTTGTAATCCCAGTGCTGGAGTAAGACAGCACTCCTGGTGGCCACTGACCAACCAATCTAGCCTAATTGACTTCTAAGGCAACAGCCCCTGCCTCAAAGTAAGTAGATGGCACGCGTTCTAGAGGCTGATACCCCAGGCTGTCTTCTGGCTGCCACACACGTGGACAGGAATCTGCACAAACATAATTTACATACAAACATAATTTTTCAAAGGAGTATAGATGACAATATTATTCTGCCTGACTCCCCACTCTATTTCCTAGACCCAGCTCTAAGTGAGCGTTTTCAAAAGGTTCTACAATTGCATTTATAGAATATTCTGCCATGTACTTTTTGCTTTGTGTACTAGCTACAAGACCTCAAGCCACACACCCTATGTATAAATGCACTATCTCAGTAGACTTGTTTAAAACACTAAATGTCATCACTCATCTAGACAGTGAATTTCTGATGATTACTTTCAAACCAAAAACAAAGCCAGGCGCAGTGGTACAGATCTGTAATCCCAGCACTTGGAAAGGCAGAGGCAGGCAGATCTCTGTGAGTTCCCAGCCAGCCGGGTCTACAAAGTGAGTTCAGGACAGCCAAGGCTACAAAGAGAAAGGGGTGTCTCGAAATATCCCTTAATCCCCCCCCAAAAAAATGGCAGATTCTGAAGACACTGCCCTTTATAGCCTTAACATCCATTACCAGTAGATAATGCCTAAGTAACCGTCTGGGTTTATCAATTCTGGCATCTAGGCTATGAAACTGGGCATAGGATTTGTATTATCTTATAAATCATAGACCATAGGAACCCAGAACTATTTTTTATAGCCCTTCTATATAACAAAAAAAGCATTAGCAGTTGCCAGGTTTCAAAATTACAGCTCTTACATGAAGAATTCTGCCTCGTAAGCTTTTCTTTAAAAACTTCCAGCCATCCAGGCAGCGTCTGCACACGTGACCATGCAAAGGGAGCAGAGGCTGGCTGTCCCTTTGTGATTGGCAGGCCCTCCCCAACTGGCCGGGTGAACAGATCAAGAGGCACCCAGGCCACACCTATGCGTCCACTGGCCACTACATCTCAATTGTCTCTTCTTACAGGAAAGAGGGCGTGGAGAGTGCCTTCATCCAGCGCAGTGCCCTGTTTAGTCCATCTTGCTGTCTTTAGTACCTGCGTGGGCTGCTGCCAATGGAGGAAGTGACTACGTTGCATAGAAAAAGAACCGTCAGTGTTAATCAGTTTCCTCAAACCGGACCAACAACAAATTAAGGTAACCACATTTATACCTTTACATGGTATTTTACAGAATATAAAATTTGTATTCAGAATAGGATCATACAATTACACTTACTCATAAATAGTTTTAGCATCTTCAGCACTTTTGTCCTTAAAATCAAGCAGCTCCTGAAGGCTCTGGATATACCTAAGATAAAAATCAGACTGCTTAGTTTATTCATATTGTAAAATTAGCACAAATGGTATTTTTTTATAATTTTAAATTTAAAATACTCCTACAAATTTTAGTTAAAGTAGGTTTGTGTTTCTTTTTCCTTCTTTTTTTAAGACAGGGTCTCATGCAAGCCCAGCTTCAAGTGGTGCTGGGGATCAAATCTGGGGTTTATGTATGCTGAGCAAGCACTCTACCAGCTGAGCGACACACTGGTCCTGAAACAGGATTTTACACCCACTAGCATCTGACTGAAGTTCTAGGCAGACCACAGGAAGTATATACTTTCAGGCTGGAGAGATGGCTCAGCGGTTCGGAGGACTTTCTGCTCCTCCTGACAGTACAAGCTCAGCTTCCAACACCCACAGAGGACAGCTTACAACCAGCACGTTCTCCAGCTCCTGGGAGCCCAGTATCCTCCCGTGGTGTCTGTGGGCATCCAGACATTGATTACAATCATGTAGACACAGACACAGACAGACACACAGACGCGCGCACACAAATAAATCTAGGGAAGGAAGGAAGGAAGGGAGGGAGGGAGGGAGGGAGGGAGGGAGGCAGGCAGAGAGAGAGAGTGAGTGCTTATTTTGCCGTTAAAATCACAGATAAGAATCAATCATGGTAACACAGACCTTTAGCCTCAGCACTTGGGAGGCAAATAAATCTCTGAGAGTTCAAAACCAGCCTGGTTACAGTGGGTTCCAGGAGAGCTACAACTAAATAGTGAGACCCTGTCTAAAAACAAAACAAAACAAAAAAAAAAACAGATAAGGGCTGGAGAGTATAGTTTGGTGGTAAAGCATTTATTCAGCATTTGCCCCTCAAAACACACAAAAGCATAGGTCAGTAGGTCAAATTTGAGTTAAGAGTTTAAGATTTATGTTCTAAACCCTACAAGGTTTAGGCACTATGTATCAGACTATAAACACTGCATCTTGAGAACTGAACTGCCACCACTCACTGCAATCATGGATAAATGCTTGTCTTAATCACAGCAAAATAAGGGTATACCTTGCTCTCAGAATCTAACTTAAGTGTTAAGTGTTTGTGTTTTAAAGCCTTATTTTTAGATATTTAGGTCTAGTCAACAAGTATTTACTGAACGTCTACAAGCTACCATATACTAAACAAAACAAAAGCAATTAAAATGTACACTTTTAATTTACCCTTAGCTCTTATTTAGAACAAAAGGAGGAAGGCCTGGTGACCTTCTCGGCGTCATGCAGCTAACCATAAGGGCACCACAGGCCGGGCTGACAACACCTCCACGGCCACTTGGTTATCTTCTTTACAGTGTGAGTCCTGCCTAGTGCGCCTCGGAGCACTTCACACTGCCCCAACGAGGTCCTGCTGCAGTCCAAAGCCAGTGATATTCGTAGCTGGCCCCTGCTTCAGCCCTCAGATTTCTCTTCACTGGCAAGAAAAAGTTTGGTCTTTAGGGGACATTTAAGTTCCTACCCCTTGTAAGGCAAAACCAGATTTCAGAAAGCGTGATGAGCTAGTTTAAATGAAGGATGGTGAGGAACGGGGAAAGCCTTCCCTGGAATTCCACATTTTCTTCTATTTATCTCATGATGCTCTCTAAACCTCTCTTCTCACTTAACTACATTTCCAGTGGTTTCATACGTGAACTAACTAGCCTCTGGGGACAATATACAGCAGTCATTCATCTGCTGCTTATTTATTATTGACTTTTAGTGTGTGTGTGTGTGTGTGTGTGTGTGTGTGTGTGTGTGTGTGTGTGTTTTCCCCCTCAGAGGCCAGAAGGTCCTGGAGCTGTTCTTACGGGCGGTTCTGAGCGGCCTGACCTTGGTCCGCTAAACCATTCAGCCAACTTTCCAGGCCCTTGTTTATCTCCCTTTTATACTGAGGCTCGTGTGTAGGAGGAGCATGTGCACACGTAAGCACACGGGTCCTCGGAGTCCAGGACAAGGTGTTGGAGCCCTTCCAGCTGCAGTTAGAGGTGACCGGGAGCCACCCGCTGAGGGTTCTGGGAACATAACTGGGTTCCCAGCAGCAAGCACGCTTAAACACTGAGCTGCGTCTCTCCAGCTCCCTTGGTTACTCTTTAAGTTGATGTCTGACCAGCTTATCTTACAAACTACAATGCCTACAAACTGAAATTTAGCATCTCTACTAATCATAATTGGGAAATGCTTTGCAGTCACATTTTTTTCCCACTTAATACTCGACTCTGGCCTGCATACACACAAAAATTTTATTTAACACTCCCCCAGCCCACACTTTAAATTCCAGCACTGGGGAGGCAGAGGAAGGTGGATCTCTGTGAGTTCAAGATCAGCCTGGTCTACAGAGTGACTTCTAGGCTAGCCGACAGTGAGCCCCTATCTCAAGAAAACAAAATAAAGCAGCTTTTTTAGTTGGACACAGTAGCTGGACATAGTAGCGTATTTCTGTAATCCCAGTTCCAAGAAGGCAGAGGCAAGAGAATCTCTGCAACTTCAATGTCCTCCTGGTCTGTGTATTGAGCTCCAGGCCTGCCTAAGACAGTCTCAGAATAACAAGGAAATACCAGGAAGACGGCTCAGTGGGTAAAGACCGCACACCCCAAGCCGGCTAACCAAGCTTCACCCTGGGACCCATGCGGTGGGATGAGAGGACTCACTGCAAGCTCTCTGGCCGCCACCGGAATCTGAGCAAATGAGTGTTCACACACGCTCTCTCGCTCTCGCTCTCGCTCTCTCTCCCTTTCTCTCCCCGCCCTCACACCACAAATCTGTAAAACGCCACTTAAAACAAAGTTAATAACACTTTATAATTAACAAGGAGGCTGTGCTAGCACATGCCGATAATTCCAGCACTATGGAGGTGAAGGCAGAAAGATCTGTCTCAAAATAAATAAATATTAGAAATAAAGGATGCGGAGAGGTGGCCGTGTAAAAATATACCCTTAAAGTTGTTATTATCAGGCTGGAGAGATGGTTCAGTGGTTTAAGAGAACTACCAGTTTTTGGTACCCACATGGTGGCTCACAACCATCTATAATTCCAAGTCCAGGGGATCTAACGCCCTCTTCTGGCCGCCACAGGCACCAGGCACACCTTTGGTACACAGACACACATCTGGGCAAAACACCTGTACATATAAAAACTTTCTTAAATTTAAAAACCTTTTATTATTATCATGGCAAATTGCAGTTTCTATGTAATTACAATAACCTCTATTTTTAAGAGAGAGTGATCAGTGCAGGATGTGTGGACATATTACATATCATCAAACTGAACTCATTAATACAGATGTTAATAAAAAGCAGAACAAAAGCTGTCACTTTTGCGATTTGTTTAATAGTCAACACTCTATTTTAAGGATCTATCAATTTGTTTACTGAGTATGAAGGAAAATAGGTTTTTTTTTTCTTCCCCCTAAAACCAACCACAGGACACATAGTTCAGTCTGCTCAGCCTACAAAGCTATGTGACTAGAAACTGCTGCCAGGCATGGTGGCATGACCTTTGACCCCAGCACCTGCAGGCAGAGGCAGTCAGATCTCTGTAAGTTCACGGCCAGCCTGGTTCTAGTACACCAGGGCTACAGAGAGACCTTGTCTCAAAACCAGAAACAGAAAGAAGCTGACGGTGCTTCACAAGGAAGAAACGAATGCTGCCTGTGTTAATTCCCTCGGTAACTAAGCCTGCGGTACGACACCTCTTTACAGAGGCTGGAAAAAATACAGATGATGTAGCTGCTATCAGATTATTAAATTTCTACCAAGCAGTGCTGGTGCTCACCTTTAATCCCAGCACTTGGGAGGCGGAGGCAAGAGTCTAGAGAGCAAGTTCCAGATTAGCCAGGGCTACATAGAGAAACCCTATCTCAAAAAAACAAAGCAAAAAAAAAAAGATCTCTTACCAACTTTGTACCAGCTGTACGGATGGGGTCCTGAGAAGATTATCTGGAAGGAGACTTATTTCTTTCATGATATTTGCCAATCTAACTGGTAACTCCTGTCGCAGAAACATAAATGAGGTCTTTTCACAAGCATTTACTGATCCTGAAAACAAGCACAGTGGAAAAGGCAGTTAAGTACAAGGTACACGGTATCTGAAGCCAGAAAGCAAGGGGAAAAGGGAGGGAGTCATATGGCAAGGCCATCATGGCCGAATTACCATACTGAGAGGAACGGCCTAGGAAACCAAGAGATCCAGGCAAGGTTGAGCTAACTGGCCTATAAAGTATCCCTGATTCCAGAACCTTCCAACTCCTGGAGTTCCAACTGCTCAGCACCACACTGAGCACTTTTGTTACACTTTGCACCTAGCTAGCCACCTCAGAGTTAAGGTGAGTTACACCTGTCTGCTTAAGGTTCAGGGCCTATGAGGAGAACTCAGAGAAGCCCGTTCTATATGCCCCACTGCTGCTACCCTTCAGAAATTCTGACTCCTGCCAGGGTTGTGGGTAGGGTAATGGGGGAGAGGGGCACATGCCTTTAATCCCAATACTTGGGAGGCAAAGGCAGGCAGATCTCTGTGAGTTCAAGATCAACCTGGTCTACAGAGTAAGTTCTAGGGACAGCCAGGGCTACCAGGAGAAACCCTGACTTAAGAGAGAGAGAAATTAATTCTGACTCCAGACTTCGGGCAAATTCCGATCCAAATATGCGTAGGTCGACTAGACACAAATACTAGCCACCCCGGAACAGTCAGCACAGGGAAGGTTTTCGGGCAACAGAAGGCAAAGGCCATCAGCACCGCATCAGCAACCATCAGGCAGAACCTACTCAATTGCCTGATTCCTGGGGAAGTCACCTGCCCCTTCCTCCACTCTTGTATCCAGATGTTTGGCAGAAGAGCTGAGAGCATCCATCCCTTGGAAGGCAGTGTCACTTGAACTAAAAAGTTGTATTTCAATAATCCATTTGAAACTAATTCAGTCTTACAGATGGAACCTTAGCAGAAACTACCTTGTCAAGATTCGGAGTATTATTAAGGATTATTATTAAGTTTAATATCGTATTCATGAACGAAGTGAGGGATCACTACACCACAGTACAGGAATTTAAGAATGAAGCAAAAACGGGTCCTTTTGTACTCCCTTAATTAAGAAATACGGGGAAACCACCTGTCCCCGAAAACCACAATTTTAAGATAACACACCCAGACACACCAGCTTATCTCTCATGCCCACTAACCATGCTATAACCTGACAACAGGACACAGAAGAAAACTTCTTCTTTTTTTTTTTTTTTTGAGTCAGGGTTTCTCTGTGTAACCTTGGCTGTCCTAGACTCGTTTTGCAGACCAGGCTAGCCTCGAACTCACAGATACCCGCCTGCCTCAGCCTCCCTGGACACACCACAGGTGTGTGCCACTGCCGCCTGGCTAGGAGATAACTCTTTCTACTCCGTAACTTTCGGATTTCAACGTTAGCGTTTATATTAAGCATTTTCCTTTCCCCCTCATTACTCCTGATGAGAAGTCCAAATTCTGCAGGTCGTTCTACGATCTGTTACACACAGCCAAGGCCATGCACTTTACACGTGCTCGGGACTGACTGCTGATGAAACCAACTTGCTCCCGGTGGAAACACTGGCGAGGAAAGTACTGGACCAGTAGTAACTTGTTTTCCTGCCATCACGCCACTCTAGACGATCACCGCTGCGCTGGCACTGAACTCGCCTCGGCAGGACGCCGCCCTCGGACAAGTGTGCGCGCTCTGGCCTTGAACCTGAGCAAGACTTCCCCGAAGGCACCCGGTCCCCAGCGCGCACCTGCGCACGTGCGCGGTAGGCCGCCGCCCGCGGGCCCCCTGCTTTGTTTTTCTCGCTCGCTACAGTCGCTCGCCCCGGTTGCCAGCCCGGCCTGCCAGCGCCCGCACCCTCCGGGGAGGAAGGAAGCACCTAAGACGCCGCGGAGGCTACACCAGGGAGGAGGGGCGCGCCTGGGAGGACAGGGCCCGCGCACCAAGGCCCGAGCGCCCGGCCGCCCTCACCGAAGTCCAGGAACTGCTTCATGGAGAGCGGCGACGGCGAGAAGCGCGCGTAGAAGTCCACCTGGCCCGGAACGCCTTGCTCCGACGCCGGCCTGAAGCCCGAGGCCGAGCCCGAGGCCAGGCTGCGGCTGGCGCTGGGGACGGCGGCGCAGAGCGGCCTGACGCCCGGGCCGCCCCGCAGCAGCCTCGCCAGCCTCATCCCGAGCCCCGCCGGAGGAGCCGGAGCCCCCGGCGCCAGCCTGCCGCCCTAACGCCGCTGCCCGGGCGCTACGTGCGGGACGTGGCGGGTCGCGGCGGGCCGCGGGGGCGGGGAGCTGCTGTCGGCGCCGCGGCCGCCGCCCCCTCGCTGTGGCCACGCCCCCGTGGGCGGAGCCCCGAGAGGATGAGCGGGGAGGAAAGGCAGCGCCGGTCGCCGCCCCTCCCCGAAGCCACGCCCTCGTGGGCGGAGCCCCGAGAGGACGCAGGCAGGGAAAGGGAAAAGAGGCGGCGGCTCAGCCTTGCGAGGAAGGGGCGCCGCTGAAGCTCCGCGGAGCGGGTGGCCGCGGTCCGGCCACCCCCGGAGATAGAACGCGGTGAAGCTTTGCTGATTCTCTGGGAGCCCGCGGGTCCAGCTCGCGCTGTGGTGCGCCCCTTCGCACGCCCACCATCCCCTTCCGTCCTCCCTCCCAGGCTCAGCTGAAAGACACGAGGACGTGCAGCACGGTCCCCGGCCGTGAGCCTGTTGTAGAAACGCCCTCGGCTCCTTGGAAGCGCGGGATTTGCAGGTGAAGACCCTGGGTGCTTCAAGAGCTCACCCTTGCCAAATGGTGGTGGTACAAGAGTTGAACTTGGGGATGTGGCTGTAAAGAAGATCACAGCAACTACAGTTTCCCCGAAGAGCGCGTTGGCAGCCCAGGTTGAAACACTTCCTGCAAGCAGTCTTGCACAGTTCTTCGTTCTCTGCCATTCTGTTAGCTCGTTAGAGTCACGACGTGCCTTTTTCACCTTTTCTGTGTCTAGAAATAGCGAATGCAGGGTTACAGCATAGTAAATACCTAATCCCACAGAACTGCCGAGTCTGCAATTCCTTCTAAAAAAAAAAAATCACTTCTCCACTGCCGCTGCCTCATACCACCACCCCAACATTTGCTCTGTCTTAGGTGCAAGAAAACTATCCTACCGTGGATGTGAAGCTTACGAATTATGTAAAGTACATGTGGAGAGAACATTTCATAACTCCATGCTGGTCAGTTCGGGGTTTTGTAAAAACGCATAAATAATGAAGGCCGGAGCGTAGCTTCATTGGTACAGTGCTTGTATGCGTGTCCAAAGCCGTGGACTATGAGGAAGAAAAGCAAAACCCCGAACACCTTGTTAGCCGACACCTGTGGAGGTGACAGGTCTGTAGTTGAAGGTAATCCTGTGCCTGTAATGCCAGCCTGTGATACCTAAACTCCTTTCTCAAAACAAACACTCCTCCCCCTCCCCACACTCACACGCAAAGAGATAAAACAGAAAGAAATCCGAGGAAAGTCCCTTTATGCCGTTATTCCGTATCCAACAAACTGTGTAGCACAAAGGGTAACACTGTCCACCTGGAAACAAAAGCAGGTGATTTTGACTACAGAGGAGGAAAATCAGTTTTTCCTCAAGTATCCTGATGATAAAGCAAAAACCGTGGCCCCTCTTAGGATTCGCCTCCTTTATAAAAGAATTTAGGAATAGACTAAAGTGGAAGCTCAAGAATAATTTTATTAGCTCTTAAAAGAAAAAAAAAAAAAAAAAAAAAACTCTAGGGCACTCAAGCCATCCATCTCAGCAGCTGCCTGAGGGAGGAGAATGGAGTAGAGAAAAACAAAAGTCATGCTGTTGGAATTACCAGCATGGAGGTCAGACACATGGCAGCCGTAAGCCACAGGGTGGGAGGGGAACCTTACAGAAAAGGGTAAGGAAGCCTAAAGAGTCAGAAAAACCATACTTAGGTTCTGTCCAGCATCAAAGAGGGAGAGGGATGAAGGGAAAGAGAAAACAGTTAAAAGTGGTGCCTCTCTGACTCAGAAAGGTGGACAGACCCAATAGAACCTCACGGTGTTTTGTAGGGACTATTGGTGAAGGAGGAATTCTGGGAAGGGAAAGTACAGTGTCTCGTTAAAGGAAAATGTATGACCTCTATCTCTGCAGCATAGCTGCTTTCCTAGTGGCCCTTCATCAGATGATTGACAGCCCTGTTAGAGCTCCACCCAGGCCAGAGACTCTGTTCCCTTCCTTGATCAGGTAGAGATTTTTTTCTCAATGGACCTTTACTGCTACTGTAACATTGAACCCTTTGTTGGAACAGACCCTGTAAAGAAAGTCAGATGAACAACAGAAAGATGTTTATATCATGTATTTGTGGTGTAGGGTCAGGGAATAATAATTCTCAAAACAGCCTTGAATTTCAGCACATAGCATCTTCAACGTAGTACAGTGATTATTTAGAGAAGTGACAGGTCATTATAAATGAAAATATATAAAATGGCCTATTTTTTATAGCTGCTCCTCCTCTGTCTACTGCTTTTTTTTTTTCTGTGGTCTGTAGCTCAAACCAATACATCTGCCAAAGGGAGCATATCGGGGGCAGTATATTCAGGTCTCCTTCAACACCATGCCCTCAAATATGAGAAAGCCTGTCCTATGAAAGGATCAGGTTTGTTCTGGGTGGCCCTGAAGGCAGTTGGAAACTATAGAGCAACAGATCTGGTTCATCATAGAAAACTGTTGTTGTCCACACAATTATTTCACTGAGATGGGCAGGAAGGCTCTAATCTGTGACCTTTAGGTAAGAGTCTAGAAAATAGCTCTGTAAGAATGGCCCAGGGGCCTGTAATCCCAGCACTTGGGAAGGCAGAGGCAGGCAGATTGCTGTGAGTTCAAGGCTAGCCTGGTTTACAAAGCGAGTCCAAGACAGCCAAGGCTACACAGAGAAGCCCTGTCTCAAACAAAAAAAGATGGCCCAGGGTACTGTGGGAAAACAGTGTAGTGTTATGAAAAGAGCCTGGGTTCTGGCTTAGTGTTTTGCTTATGATATTGAAAGACCAAAGAATTAAAAATTAGTTTATTGGGTTATTGACTTCAAGTTTAAAGTTCAAGCCTCAACAAAGGCCAGATGGGTAGATACATGTCCAGCCACCTGCAAGGAGGAACCAGCCTTACTGTATTCTTTTCCTGCCCACTAGAGATACAGTTGCTAGGAAACCTGCCCAGAGGCTAGGAAACCCTCTACCCTAGGACAGCCAAACAAGGGAAACCAGACCAGTAATGGTTTGGGGACCGCCCTATAGCCAATTAACTCAAAATGCAACATCCCCTTTTGTGTTTCAACCAATAGACGCTTGCCAGGCAGGAATTCCCCTGTTTTGGCCAGGCTGGGAAGGACTGGGTCCTTTAAATCAACCACCTACCCTGAACACTAGCCTCTCTGCTCTCAACTGCTGCTGCAGTGAGGGTGTTAGCCCAAGCTATAGCTTGTAATAAAAGGATCCTCCTGTGTTTTGCAACAGACTCAACTCCTGGCGGGTCTTTTGGGATCTCTTGAATTGGGCACAACAATATATTGGCTATGTGCTCTTGAGTGTCTTAATCTTGCCAAGTCTTTATCTAGTTACCTAGGAAAGGGACAACATATGCCTTCCTAGATGATTAGTAGCATGATTAGTATACCTACATAAGTTAACATAGGACCCAGGCCTTACTAAAGAGCTGATAGATGGCATCTCATTATTAGGATTTTATGAGAAGCATTCACATAGGTGGTGTGCTTGCCATAGACATTTCCAGAGGTTTAGGAGAAAACAATTTAAGTTGAATATTAAACATCATTCAGATGGCCTCCTATCCTTTTATTCTTTTTTTAGATTGTTTTATTTGTTTTGCCTGTCTCTATGCATGTGTACCGTATGTGTGACTGTGGGTGTCAGATGAGGGCATCAGATTCCCCAGAACTGAAGTTCTGGGTCATTATGAGACTCCATATGGGTTCTGGGACCAGGCCCAGGTCCTCTACAAAAGCAACAAGTACTATTAACCACCGAGCCATCTCTCCAGCTCCTCCCATCCATTTCTCACTGTATAGCTATACTGGCCTGGAACTCACTATGCATCCCAGGCTAGCTTCAAGTTCAGAGCTCTGCCTATTTCTGCCTCCCTAGGGCTGGGACTAAAGGTATGTGCCACCATGGCTGGGCATTTCCAGTACTCTAACCTCAACCTCTCCTGCTGCCTTCTTTCTTCTTTCTCTTGTTCTTTCTAGATCATTCCCCGAACTTCATATATTCTTCTACTAGATTGGGCACAGCACCATTCATCTCCCTCAACCTGTCAGCAGTAGTGGGGCATGGACTGGAGACAGGACTCCCTCCATATTGCCTGCCATAAAGTTCTTCACACAGAGCTCCACTTAAGTGAAGTGGATTCTTGACTCTGCAGAAAAGAATTTCAGGACATGCTAGAATAAAACAGAGGTGAAGGTTATTAGGAAGAACGTTGGTTTTTATTTTTTTGAGACAGGGTTTCTCTGTGTAGCCTTGGCTGTCCTATAGACTCACTTTGTAGCCTGGCCTCGAACTCACAGAATTCTGCCTGCCTCTGCCTCCTGAGCCTGGGATTAAAGGCCTGCGCCACCCACCACCATGCCAGTTTAGTAACAGAGTTTAACATAGTCTTAAGTGTGGGGCTTAATAGAGAGACGCTCAAGGAATAAATAAGACACGTGGAGGTTCAGGCGTAGATTTCTAATGAGAGAGTCTGTGAGTCTCGACAATTACCTATTACACAAGTTTGGTGGCTCTTAAATGTATCGCTAAGAGTTGCTGGGAAATTCCAGGTTTTTTCTTTTATCCTCTCTGTTTGATAGATCAGCAGTAAGAAACTTCAGCCTCACTCCAAGATAAAGGGCTTCTTTCCTTTCTGTGTCTCCTTACTTTTCCCTCTCTTTCTTTCCTGCTTCAAACCCACTTACAGCTCTGCTGCTATTGTCTGAGCACGTCAAGATGCCTAAATTACAGAAACTTGTGTGGGAGCACAATGGAATGGCAGAAACAAGGTTGTTCCAGAAAGCAATCATCTTTGTCGTTGTTTTGTGTTTGTGATGTGTGTGTGTAAATGCTTGTAGAGTGCAGGGGTCAGCCTTAGGTGTCATTTTCTATTGTTCTCAACTTTATTTTTTGAGATATGGTCTCACACCAACCTTGGAGCTCACTAATTCAGCTAGGCTAGCTGGCCAGTAAGCCCAAGGGAGCCTCCTGTCTCGGATCCCCAGAGCTGGGGAATTGCAGGCACACTCAGCTGTAACCATCCTTTTATGTGGATTCTGGGGACCTGAACTCAGATCCTCATGCTTAGATGGCACATGCTTTGC